GAGTGAGCTGAGTGCACATGAATGAGAAACACAAGGGTCACATTTCCTCTGAAATACTTGGGATAGGAGTGCAAAATGCACTTCGAGTTTAACCCAATCCAAAATCAGGAGGCAGGCCAGGCCCTTGTCAAGTTTCCCTTGTCCTGCTATTTGGCCCAGCAACCAGGAACCCCAGCTGGTCAAGCTGGAGCTGTTGCTCACAACCCCGAATTCCTGTGGCCGGCTCCTGACAGCCCGGCTGCCTGAAGGCCTGCCTGCGAGGGGAACCCGCACCGGGCCCCCTAATCGATACCAACCGTACCACAGGCGCTGTGATGGGCCTTCTCTGGCAGGCAGAATATGAGGCAAGCGATAATGAGAACAATGAGAGGGTCTGACATGGAAATTTCAGTAGGAAACAAGCAATTACATGAGAACAAACATGCCCCATGCCACTCACAATCATGTGAACACATAACAGTGATTATGAAAACGAGAGCAACAAATACAGACCCTGAGCAGTCTGTGCTTTGGAAAAAGAGGCCCCCTGGGGTGGAGCCGTGACCCTCCCTGGGCACGTATGTGACTGGGTGTGTGTGTGTGTGTGCACAGGCATGCCTGTGTGTGTGTCTTTTGAGACACATGAATTTCATTTGACTTGATTGAAAGCTGGATCTCTTTCCCCTGTAGTTGAAACCACTTCTCCTGAACAAACACATTTCCATCCACTAGGCGGGGAGGAAATAGTGAGTCAGTAAAGAGGGGAGAATTTTCTCTGGACCTGCTGAAGATTCAGACTGAGGCTGGCTGAGAACGACCTGGAGAAAACAATGCCCCAGGGAGAGTGCGTGCTCTCCAGCTCAGGACGAGAGGTGGCCTGGGAGGGAGGGGAGTCCAGCATGCAAATGTTTTGCTAAGAGCCTCAGTAATGGGGATACACCAGCAGTCCTTTTTCATCATCAAGATTCACAGCGCAGTCAAGACAGGTGAGCTCTTTCTTTCCAGCCCGTGGAGTGGAATCAATGCAAGTGCAGGTCCTGGTGTCCATCTAAGCAGTCCCTGCCTCGTCTCCATCGTGGGATGCCTTCACCACCCACCTCTAGCCTCCATGTCATAAGAACTGTCAGTCCTGCACCTCAGAGAAGAGGCATCTGAAGTAAGGAGGCAACCTGAGAGAGTGGTGAGAGGTTGCAGAAAGGTTACACGTGGTGGTTGGCAAGTCAGGGGCAGAGCGAGGAAAGCTTCCTGCTGACCTTAATTGACATTTGCAGGCTGGGGCTTATTTTTTCTCTAGCCAACGACAAGCTGCCTCCTTTTCCCCCTCCCCCTCCTCGACGTCCTTTGCAGGGGCTGTGGTGCCTTCTCCCAGCGAGGGCCGGCCAGGTCAGGACCTGATTTGCCACTTGGGAGGGATGTACTGCTGCTGGAAGTCACTGAGTCACCGACCAAGACCAGCAGCCAAATTCTCGGCTGCCAGCTTGGGAAGGCAGTGCCGACCCCAGAGGAATCCATTTCATCTGTGAAACCCACCCTGGCTGTCCCTAGACCATATTGTGAAATAGGCACTTGGGTTTTGGCCTGTTAGGCCTTTATTCCTTCAGATTATGAGCTTAATCTTCTAGGCAAAGAGGCAAAATGACCCAGATCTGCATAAACTCTACAGGGAACCAGCCAGCAAAAATGGAAACTGAGACCCCTAAGCCGCCTCCCACCCGCAGTGCATTCCCAGGTCCAAACCGTGACGGAGAGGCTATTGAGCATTAGTGAAAAGGGCAACGGACACGGTCCTGGGCTAAGCGTTTCGGCACAGCAAAGTCCCCTTTTCCTTCTTAATTCTTTTTGTTTGTTTGTTTGTTTTTGAAAGGAAATCTCATGTGCAGTTCTGGGTCTGGGCTGCTCTAAGTCTTGGCATCTAGGGAACGTCAGAGAAGCCCCGACCCAGGCCCCCGCCTGGCCAGCCAGTGGCCAGGCTTCCTGAATGGACACCCGGGGAAGGGCAGAAATAAGAGCCTTACCTTGAAGCTCACGACTGCCCACAGCAGAGCCTCTCTGAACCCCAAGGACAGAACCGAGAGAATTCCAAACCCTTCACCCGGGCTCCCACCCACCAGCTCTGGCACTCAGGTGATGGGAAGGTCATCCTAATTAAAACCTCGTGGTAGGCTTTCAGCTGTGGAAAATTGCTGGATCCTTTCTCCTTCCTCCCACCTCCTCTTTCTCTCCTTAAACACGCACATGCAACTTTCCCTCCCTTTATTTAAGCAAACAACTCCCTCCATGATTAAGTACAGTCCCTTCTTATCTAAATAGTCCACAGATGTATAAAGACACAGGAGCTTTCTGCTCCTATTTGGAGCTGGTTCTGGTACCCATCTTCTCCAAGCCTACAAAAGGCAGCCTTCCTCAGCCTTCGAGGACAGAAATTCCTAACGCCTGTGCCCCCCGTAAATCAGCCTTGCTTGGCAGGCTGTCCTCAATTTATCAAAGAGGTGGGATTTCCCCTCCAAAGAGTGCAGTTCCCCACCCCCCACCTTGCCTTGGCCTCTCCTATAACCTGAGCCTGAAACTGTCCAGATGTGAACAAATGGAACATGAAAAGTCCCAATTCTGTTGTCAAAGTCTGATCTTACTTTAACCATCGAAGTAAATACCACCAGTTGGTTAACTCCAAGGACCCCTGGTGGTCCACGACAGGGGACTGGGGGACTTCGGTAAAGGGCAGAGACCAGATTCTAAAAGTTTGCCAAGGAAGAAAAAAAAGGAAGGGATCTGTGAGTTTCCAAAATAAATGGAGTCTGAGGAAGAAGAACCAACCCTCAAGGCTGGTTGGGTGAAATCTACTGTGGGGTCAAGAGGATAAGCCGCAGCTTTGGGTCTCTAACTGTGACTCTTCCACAGTTTGATTTTCTTTCCAACCCAAAGCATGATAAATATGTTGAGTCTCAAGGAGATGGGCTGTATGTGTGGATCCCAGTGATGACTTTTTACAGGGAGCAAGGACACCACTGAGCCCCCTAGAGCCTCGCTACTCCAGGTGTGCCCTGCGAGCTGGCCTGCCCAGGCAGGGCCAGCCTCTCCTCTCACCAGGGGCCCATTGGAAATGCAGAAACCCAGCCCCCACCTCGGACCTACTGGATAGGAATCTGCATTTCAACCAGGTATCCAGGAGGCTCACGTGCATGTTGAAGTTTGAGAAGCGCTCCTTGGACAGCCGGATGCACCCAGTATAGAGGGGTTAGACTCAGTCCCTCCCTCGTGTATCGGATTTACCTCCATTAACCAATACCTAGTAAGAAGAGCTCACAGGACTTCCAACAGGACTACGGTAACATGACGTGTGTGGGTTGGGAAAAGGAAAATACCAAAAAAGTCTCTCTCATCCCCAAGCCACTAATGTCCTACTAGAATGTTTTACAAAGTAAGATCCAGTGGATGGCTGGCATCTGGAATACCCAGAGTGCTAGCTCCAAGTTCAGAGTCTAGGGCCCTATGGCAAACCTTCTGAACTTGAATTTCTGAAGGGTGAAAGACAGAAATTGCACATTAGCAAGTTCCCCTTCATATACATACTAAAATTTAGGAATGTTTCTCCCTATTTCTTTGGATTACTATTGGATGATCGATACAGGTCTCTTTCTCAGGAGCAAAAGTGAAATGCTGGCACTTCTGGATTCATTGTGCGGAGACAGCATTAGAAATAGACCAGCCCAAGTTGCATAACGTAGTGACTGACCCTTCATTTCTTTCTGCCTCTGAGTAGGAGAGCACCAGTACGATTCCGTCAGGAGGTGTGGGTGCCACAGAGCTCTGAAGGCCAGGCTGCTGTTTCGTGTGTCCAGTCTCTCCTAGACACAGGTTCAAGCAGTCCTGACCTTGGACACCCCATATGCCAGGGCGACTCCAACAGCTGAAGCCAAGATGCCTTTGCACATACTTCATTGTCCTTTCAGTTTTTTTTAATCAAACAGCAATGGAAAACCATGGGTCACGGTGGTGAGGGCCCAGTGGGGTGACAACACTAACCGTGCCCAGCCAAGATTTTCATTCTCATTAACCACAGGAGAGCTAAAAGGAAATGCCAATCTTTTCCTTGGCCGGGCTAGAGTATCACTAGTTCGCCAGTCAGATAGACTAGTACAGGAAACTCTTTCTGTCTGGGAGTGTAACTTTAATGGGATGTTTTTACAAGTCCCCAAACCATGCCTGAAAGAGTGCCTCTGTGCATAGGGGTGGTTTTGTGTGAAGTATTTATTTGCTCTCTTCTAGGTAAAATTGCTAGTCGTCTGAGGTTGGGAAGTGCCTTATTAAATCAGGGAGTGACATCAACTGAAGCTGTCACTGTAATTGCTTACAGAATTAAAAGTCACACTGGACAATTCCTTAGGCAACAAGCATATAACCTCATATGAAACAGCATGGACCCAGCGCGGGCCACCCTCTCGGTCCAGAGGGAAGTTCGGTGGAAAGGTGTTCTTCCCACAAGACTAGGACTTGGGAGCCCTGGGTTCCAGCCCCAGCAACACTCTGGACCCAGGAGCCCCACTCTGGGACATCCGGCCATCTCTCACCCGAGCTTCTCCATCTGCAAACCAAAAGGGTCTCCTCAGAGGTCTCCTGTGGGCGTAAGATTCCAGACACCAGGGAATTTTCAAATTTTAGTCATTAATTTCAAAACTGAATTAGCCACAGGAGAAAGAACATCTGAAACCAGAAAAGGAAACTTGGGCAGAGTTGAAAGATACATTCTTGTAGAGCAAGTATTTCACTTTCTTTCTGAGCTGAAACACACGTAGCCAAGAGAAACACTCCCGACGTCATCCACGGGGGCAGATGGTGAAGGCGGGAGGGGGTGTGGGCAGCCCGAGCTGCCTGCAGGCAGTTTGCAGCCCGCCCAGGCCATTTGCCCCTGGAAAGCTATTAAACCGACACCAGAAAACATCGCTGGAAAAAATCAGGAGTGGGGGATGCGTGCAGTCAAAGAGGGTGAGTGGTGTCATCAGGGGAAGAAGTCACAACTCACATTATCATTGATTGAGTGATTTTAGTCAAGTGAATATTGATACATGGCAGGAAAAGCATGAAAATAAAATGAACACATACAGATTTACTATTAACATAGGTGATAACATCAAAACCTCTGGTAATATGTAGTTTAAAAAAAAACAACACAAATGAAATGGAATGTAGAATCATTTTCACAGTATCCAAAGCTTTTGTTAAAGATTTAGACTCTACAAGAGGACTGCTACAGGGAGGAACTAGAGAGAACAAGGATTCCGTCTGTGTCCTGTGTATCTGCTGGTGACAGGTGGGAACGGCACCTCACTCCCCGGGAGTTTCCTAGGGGGTGCGTCCAAATCGGATGGTCCGAGCCCACGCGATCGACGCACACTTCGGCAACTGGTCCCTGGAGTCTGATGAGAAACACAGATTCTAGTTTTGGGCAAAGGTGTTTCTGAAACTTCCAGATGCAGATGAAGACTAGAGCTCCGACTGGATTCTGCCTGGGCGCTAATTCAGCGGCACTGAGAGCCAAGTGTTACGCAGGGTATTCTAAAAGTCAAATGTCCCGGGAATTCTCAGCCCCCTTTCTATCTTCTAAGGTAACTATTTTTTTAAAGGCTTGAAAGACGAGTTCTGCCAATGACCTCACAGGATTCAACCCAGAATGATCATTTTAAACCTTTACGAATATGACCTTTGCACTAGCAATAATTACCAAATCACACACACCCACCTCCCCTACTCTTTTGGAAACCAATGACCAAGCCAATGAGTCTGCACATTGGTTTTATTATATCCTTTTCGGGGGCAAAACAAAGGCTTGAGATAAAAATGCAGCTTTGGGCCCACAGGTTCCCTTTGGCCCTGAAACTGTCAAGTTGTTCTGGAGAAAGCTGCAGGCAGGCATCTCAAACACGCAGTAGCTCACAGTCCTAGGACTCTGCAGCTGGGGTAGAACCTGGAGCTGCCGTTCACAACTCCCATTTATTCTGAACTTTTTCTGAACGTGTCCCCTCCTACCTGAGAATCCCCACGTAGACAGGTGCACAGCACGGCCACCTACCATTCCTCCATCATCTTTCTGCCGTGACTGCTAATTCCCCACATACACTCCTCCCCCACGGCCCCTACCTGGGAATGAGGGTCCTGGGCATGACGTGTTCTCTCTGTCACAGCGAGCAGATACATCGGATAGATATAATCAATGAACTCGAGTCAATCAACCAAAACTAAGACCCAGATCCATGCACTCATGAAATTGCTCTGAATTTCAGTTGACAATAGGAAAGCAGAATATTCCTAATTAACTAATATATATACACATTTTTTTAAACCATCCAAAATTACAGGCAAGTCACTTAAGGTCCCCAACACTTTATGATTAAAGGTCAGGGAGAACAAACGAGGGTGTTAAAACAATAGGATCACTACTTGTGAGAGGTTAATTACATCAGGATGACCCTCAGGTAGGTAACGAGGTTGGCGGGCTGATTTTCAGACCAGAGTCTTCAGAAGCTAACAGCATCTTCCACTGTTTCTGTGTCCGGGCAGGGCCGCAGCCAGGCAACAACACTTCCTGGCCTCTCCACAGCAACCCCAGTGAGTATGGCCTTTTGCCCAGAGGGACAATCACTCAAGTCCTCGAGGTGCTGAAGAGGATTAAGAATCAGGCTTGGTGAAGAAATTAGCATTGATTACTTCCAATTATTTCCCATACACTCAACAAGAGGAATGAAGTTTTGTAAGTGAGCAGGTTTATGTACACATTTAATAAACACAGGGCTTTGAGAAACATCTTAGGGCATTCGGGAAAACTGCAGAGATGTGTTCCCTTGGAAATTTTCTCCTTGGATGAGGAGACACTTGTGACTTAACTTTCCCTCTGCAGAAATAAAAGTAATTTTTTAAAAAATGCAGGGCAGACAGGCTGGCTGTCCTAAATTTCTTTGACTTGTAGGCAATCAAGTTAGAGGAATCCATTGCCTCGCAGGAGAGGAAAGGATGGGAAGCACTGAGAGTCCCGATGAGTGTTGTGTTCAGCCGGGGCAGCCCACGGCTCCTCAGGGAGGACGGCCACACAGCTAGGCTACCGGCTGGACCCCCCTCCTCCCCACAGTGCCCTGCGACACTTTCCTACTGGAAAGTGGCCTCAGATGCTCCAGGAGACCCTGGTCTTAGTACACCTTTCACAGGCTCAGTGTAGACTTTTTACAAAACCCTTGAAAATCAACTGGGCTTTTCAGGTGTTGCTCTTTAAAGATATGCGAAATGGAACGAACAGATGAAATTAGAATGCTGAGCTCTCCACCCAATGACGGTTCACCCTGACTAGCAATTTGCAGGACTGTTCTAAATTTTTGCTTTTTCTCTTCTTTAACTACGTTTTTGGAAAACCACTAACCATCACCTCCCGAGTCTGAAAATCATCGTCTCTCTCATGCCATGGGTCCAGTGCCCACCGGGTTTCCCTTTCCTCACATGAAGGCAGGCACGTGCCCCCCACGTGTGTGATGGCCAGATCACGCACCAAGGCTGATGTCAGCGACCACTCGCATGACGCGTGAGACTGATTCCCAGCGAAAGACAGCCACACGGGAAGGCAGGGCAGGCCTGGCGCCTCTCGTTTCCACTATTACCCACCACTTGCGCTTTTCTTCCCTGTACCTATTCCTCTCCAAGACTGATCTTAAGTTGTAAGTGTGGTGGTGTCTGGTTCTGTCTAAAGCAGACAGAAAGGGAAACTGCTCTGGAACCAAAAGCAATGTATCTCTTACCAACAATTTCAAGTGTCTAGTTCTGAAGGAACAACTAACTGAACCACCCACAACAATTTGTAACGACACAAAGATGGTTGCAGGGACTATTTTTTGCTGCTCTCTGACTTTTTTGCTGTTGTCTTTTACATTTTTGCCTAACCCCGTCTCAGCGGCATGTTTTTCTTTAGTGAGTGTGTCTCTGGTGGAAATGGTGTTGCACTTTCTTTTACTCAGTGACATGCTGGTCCACACTGTGAATCATACAAGGCTTCCTAATCTAGCTGATTTTCCTTACCTGGGTGTGCGGCTTTAAATATTGGCTACACCGGGGTCTGGAGCGTGGCTGTGCAGGGAAGAGTAGGGATGCTGCAAGAGCAAAGCCAGCTGGACGACAGCGTCCTCCACCCACAGAAGAAGCAGTGAGTTCCAGGGTTGTCTGCTCAGCCCCCACCCCTCACCCCAACCCCCCGCTCCCTCCCCAAACCGCCCCGTGAGATTCACTTGAAGACTGACTGAAAAGTGGGACATTCGTGGTTTTTCATCTTCTTCATGAAGTTTTTGAATTCCTTGTTTTTCTTGTCCCACTTGTGGATGGCCGTCAGCAAGTACTGGCTCTTCACCTTGCGGCCCATGATGAGGAAATGGTGGCTGAGGTTGTCCAGCTGGTGGCAGGGGCAGTCGGCCCCGTTCTTCAGGTACAGGACGAGCTTCTTCAGTTCCTTCTTCTTGATGGGTCCCAACTTCAGGGGCTTCTTCTTCTTGGGGACAATCTTTTTGTCACCATTTTCTTTTTTCACTTCTTTTATTTTCATCCTCAGCGCTAGAGATGGTAAGGGCAGAGGGGGCAAGGAGAGAAGGGGAGAGAAAGCATTTTAGAACAGTCTTTCATGGAAAGCAATCACCTGAACCTCTGGCTGAAGAGAAAGGTGAAATGCAACGCAAAGGGCAAGCGAAAAAGGACAGTTTCATAAGTAAGTACCAGTGTCTCAGTCAACCTGTGTGTACAGACTCCAGTTTTGTGGCACCCATACTGAGGTGCCACGAGTCTCAAAAATACATTTTCAAAACCTAATCCTATTTCTCTTTGTTAAAACTCAGTGACTCAGCGTACCACACAATGCTTTAAGAGAAGAAGGGGATTGTATAATCCAATATAATCCATGTGATCTGATGCTTTAGACTTCTGCATTCAAAATCACACCCTAAGTTTTTATTCTTCAGAGAAAGTCATTGGTGAAGGTTTTTTAACATCCAAGGGTCATAAAGTTCTTGAAAGCTGTTTCCTCTAAACAACCTTCTATGTGCACACACCCAGCAAGGGGAAGTTACAGGGTGCCTCAAATGGTCACGTTCAAGTGCATTAAACATCAACACCCAACCTCAGCAATGGAGAAATCGGGGCCCCACAAGTATGTCTTTCAAGGAGTTTTGACTGCTAATGTTTTATCAACCACTAATCAGCCTCCAGCAGGTGCCATGAATGTTCTATCCACTGAGTAGACCCACATGGCACCAAACCCTATTTTGACTTCTCAATAGATTAGAGCAAGTCCTGGTGAAGTCCTGACAGGTAAGTCCCGGTGATGAACTCTCAAAGCTAATAAGGTACGTGGGCTGCTTCCATGCTGAGCACCAACCCCCACCCCCCCACCCCCGGCAGGAAGGGAAAGAAAGCAAGTGTGTCCACCAACTCTGCCTTCTCTTTTCGTTGTTTCTCTAGACCCCGACCTAACGCTATTTTTATGTGACTGTGTGCACCAGAGACTTTAGTGATGGCTGCACAGGGTCAGCTGATGGCGATAACTGTGTGGAGGTGTTCTCCAAGTTGTCCGTCATCAACACCCGGCATCACTACTGCAGCTCACTCTCCTCTGTAAGACCAGCCAGCCCCATGGGTTTCCAAAGGAGCTGAAAATCCTTTTCTAGATGCTCATCACCAGAAAATTTGTACATCTTTGGCATCCCTCCGAATTCAAAATTACTCAGCCCCTCATTTTAATAATGCAGAGAACCCCACCCCCACTCCATGAGGGAAGGCTTGAATCGGAACTAAATAACAATAGCTAACAATGATGAAAGCATACAGCATGCCAGAGACTGTGCTGAGTATTTTCCATGCATTTCCTCAATTAAACCTAACAACTCCATGAGGAAGGTGCAATTATTTTCTCAGCTATCAGATGGGAAAACTGAGGCATAAGGGGTTAAGTTGACTTGCCCAAAGTCAATTTAGGACCTCACTAATCCTAAATTGAAACCCATGTCTGAATGTGCACTTTTAACCACGTGGCTGCCCATGCCGACCCTATGGTTGCAAAAGTCTTTATAATGAATGCGAAACTTAAAAGAACTGATTAAATGGACCAAAAAAATAAGAGGGAAGAGCACGGACTCTATTCCCAGTCTCACCCACATTTCAAAATGAGTTTACTTATGAAATGGTAAAGAGTTCCTCCTGGTTGACAGACACTATTCTGGCACAGGAAAAGCTGCATTGTGAAGGCTTTATAATTTAACATTTAGCTGGTTAGAAAGCACACACCTGGTCTAACCCAAAAATAAAGGGGAGAGGGGAAAAGTCCTAGGAACAATTTAATGAATGAGTCAAAGTCAGTAAATTCAACATGTTCCCACTGCTTTTTTTTTCTTACAAAAAGGGCTCCAGACCTTGCAACCTACTTAACCCCACGTAATACCCTAGACCTGGTGTTTCTTATCAAATGCCTCACTCCCAAGGGTGGCAGAAGGTTCAGGAACTGGGCACCGATCAGCAAAAGGCTCTCGCTGAGGATTAGCACTGACCTCACGGGCTGGTCCAGGCTTCCCCGCACACATGGCGGAGCAGAGCCGCTTCCCACTGTGGTCTGTTCTTTAGCCCTCCCCCAGCCCAAACCAGCCATTGCTCAGCACCACTGCTGATACTTGACTCCCACCCCCACTGTGGACAGAGTGCAGTGGGACCAGCAGGGGGGGTGCAGAATGGAAAGCAGCAGAAACCACCCCTCCAGGACCTTCCCCCAGGCGCACCCAAACAGGCCCACACCTGGGTAAGCTTCCCTTGCTGGCTTACAAACCTTGTACCTGGGGTTCACTTGAGAAAAGACTTGTTGTGCTGCTCCGTGGCTGGTTAAAGGAGAGTGGTGCTCAGTGGGACTGAGTGAGGAGCCAGTAAGAGGAGACTCACTATTCAGGCCCGTCTCTGCCTCCGCTCTGCCAAACAGAGCAAGTGGGACTAGGAGAAGCCCCGAAGAAAGGCCGCAGGGAACAATTCTGCTCCTTTCACAAGACCCTCTAAGAAGCGGCCCCATGTGTTAGATGAGTCTCAAGCTACATCCCAAAGTCTAACGCCGGGAGCCATGCATTGCCACGAGCGACCAATTCCACCACCAAGAGAGGTCCATGCACGCCCAGCTGACCATGCAGGCACCCTCTTTTCTGCAGAGAAGTGAGCCTCATTTTTAAGTACTCACCATGTGCCTGGCTCTGCCTATTGGCACAGGATAGGTGCAGTCGGTGTGGCTCACAGCATCCACGTGAAAAATCATCTTTATTACTTAGTACAAGGAGAAGGACTCAGGTTAAGTAAAGACAACACACAGCCACCATTTGTGAGGGACAGAATCAGAATTAGAAGCCATACTTGACCTCAGTGAGCCCGGTCTTTCCCACCATACAATTCCTGGGCTTTGAATGATGTTGCCTCAGTGGAAATTATCTCACTCCTTTGATTGCATTGCTTTTAATCACAACTCAAATAAAAAATTAATGGTCCTTTGCCATGACTGTGTAAAGGAATTCAGTTTACATAAGTGGGGGGACAGCACGGGGAGAGAGGAAATCAAATGATGGAAATGTGTTCTGCATTAGACTCTTTATTCCCTGCCATTTGGCTCACTTTCTTTTTTGAGGTAAGGAAAGCAGGGAAGGAGGAGGCACATATGGCCAGAAATTACTAACATCTTTCCATCTCTCAGGGGTTTATTTTAGGGATGCAGATTACCAGCAATGTTTGGATAGGCGATTAGCCGTCGGAGGTTGATTTCCCTGTGCCTGTGGATGCGTGGGCAACCCCCTGCCGTGCCTCACCCAAGGGGCTGCTGCATCGGGGTGGGTGCTGGCCCAGCGGCAGCCTGGGACTGACTGCCTCCTCTTCCAGCCCCCACCATGCAGACAGCACCTGGACCCCAGGGGTCATGCCCTTGGACTGCTTTTCAAGTTTGCAATGCCCGTGGTGGTGATGGGCAGGGAGAAGCCCCAGGAGGCAGTAGCTGGTGCAACAGACCGATTCTGGGTCCTGGGTTCTACCTGTGTGACCACAAAATCTGGTTTTGAGCTCCCTGAATGTCTGTTTTCCATCTACAAAGTCTGCAGGCCTAGAGGTACTACCATCCAGAGCAGCACACTGGGAGACACCTGTGGCGGCAAAACTGTCTCCAGCACCCCCATGCTGTGCCCTTGACCTCAGCTACTGGTCACAGTGGGGCTCTGAACTAAAACAAAGCAACAAATCAACAAAACACTTCCTCAGGGCTTTGTGTTTTTGTTTGTGGTTAGCAGCAACTTGGCATCCTTCGGGAGTAGAGTACTATTCTTATTACTCCCACCTTTCACCTCACCAGTCACTCCAAAATTCTAGAAACTTTGAAAACCCCAAATTTAGGGTTACAATTAGGAGCCGTCCAGGCCTTTCTCAGCAATCTTAAAATAAATAATCCCTTATATTCAGGAAGACCCTAAGTTTCATTCCACTTCAGTCACCTAAGCCATATTTTTTCCCACAAATGATGTTTCCTTGGTATACTTCCCACGAGGCTTCGCCATATCTCCAAGACTGCAGTGGGAACAAAAAAACACATTACACTCAAGACAAACCCAGCCTCTCTTCAAAACCATCTCTTCCTCCTGATCTGCTTGCACTAATAGTGCCACAATTCTGTCAGTGACCTAGACAGAGTGCTGGGATGTAGGACAAGTATTAGCCAAGGGCCGGTCATTTACACAACCAATAACGAGGAACTGCTGCAGGAATATGAGAAAGATCTTCTGGGAAAGGTGAGGATGGAGCTGGGCTAGTAGTCAGATTTGTGACTCATCTGATTACAGGCAGTAGTTACAGTGAAGAGTCAAATACAGAGAAGAGAAGACCAGACCCCAGGGGACACCTTCACGGGGGTGAGAAGAGTTATTACAAAAGTCATCACAGGTACAGATGAAAAACCAGGCAGCCTGGGGATGCGGAAAGCACAGGAGGAAGATGTTTTGAATGGAGAAACCGCTCCCGATGACGAATGCTGCACAGTTTGGGAAGCAGTGTGAGACTAGATCCCCCAGCTTGGCAATCAGGGGTCGCTGATGACCGGAGGGGGGCCAGGGTCCACAGGGTGAGGGCGGATTCCAGAGAGCTGACAACCAATGGGAAGTGGGAAGAAAAGGTATTGCCGTCCTGACAGCCACCGAGCTTCCGGAATGTTTGTGAGGATTTGCCGCCGGCCACTTCCAGCCAAACATGTTAGACTGAGGGCATGCAATCATTTCCACTTCTTCTCGGAGTTGGTTTAGAATTATAGTAAAAAAAAAAGTTATAAACACAAGCAGGAAAATGGTAAAGGAAACAAGAGCCTATCAACATTTAGTGTAATAGAAAGCAAATGGGTGGTGGAAGCTGGCTTGACGGGGAGAGGAAAAGCTAAAACTCAGCTGCCAGTAAGAACAAGTTGACCCACACACTGCAGGTCCCAGAAACACTCAAGAACTGGGGCCACTGGGCACTCTTGCCGTCCATCGCAGAGGTCGTTAAACATAAGAACTGGGAAAAGGTAT